GATATGTCGATGCGTATACATTTGTGAGACGAGATAACTTGGCGCTATGATGTCCGCTGCCTCCTCTTCACCAAGGAATCCCTTTTCTCGTTTCATGAATTGGACCCATGGAAACATGTTTCACTCTGGTCCCTGCCAACCACCACACCAACTTCTTCAAACCCACAGACATGCAAGTCATGTTATACCCATGTGCACGCTGTGGCCGTCTCAACTTCTCTCCTGCTTGCCTCCCCCTCTTCCCCCCTCCCCCCTTCGGTTCGTTACATCTTTATTTACCAGTGTCACCATCCAAGGCCAAGTTTACGAGCGACGGGACCCGATCTCTCCGGCGACCTGATCAACAGATTGAATGCAACCCTCTCTCATGAGATTTTCCGAGTGGCTGAACCGAGATGTGTTAATGTAGCTCTGCACGATTCTTTACCCTCCTTTGGCAGCTACCTCGCCATCTGTGTAGAATTAGTCGAATATCTTAGCCAACACTCCCGACTCAAGTCCGAGAGCTCCGGCCGCTCCATCCGGTCGCACCGGACATCGACGACCAATAAAGATCTCACTCCCACGATTCGGGCTTTACGTCAAATGAAGCTTTCCCTGTCTGAGTCCACAGCCCCTCGAGGCAAGTCCACTTTTTCCTTCCTTTGTTGCGCTTTTCTCTCTTTCGTTCTTTTTTCCCCCTATCCCCACCGAATTAGCTATTTGCGTCCCCGTTTTGCCGCACGCACATTGAAGAAAATTTCAACGACCTAATCCACCATAAAGCCCACAACAACCCTCGCATGAAAGGAATAAGAGCAGATCCTGCTTCTGACTTTGCCATCAACGGGTATCCATCCCTTCGACTCCATCGGGTGGTTAAATGGCCGGTTGGCCCAATGGCAAGGCGTCTGACTACGATTCTGTAACAAGAACGTGTAATCAGGAGATTCTGGGTTCGACCCCCAGGCTGGTCAAATCTTTTGCCTCTGGGCGTATTCTACACATCAGCAGCCTAGTTGGTGATTTTTCCTTTTGTTTCCCTTCCATTTTGGCCGAATATGCCGAGTGTGTCTCTTCTTGCACACTCGAACGCCACCTACTTAGTCAGGTGAGCGGCAACTGAGCTCCGGTTGGGTGGCCGTGTAACGTGAAACAAGTCCTGAGTCTGTCGTAGGCAAGCAGAAACCCGGTCGCACTTACTGGCAACCTGTCTCTCCGTCGAGGGATTCGTTGACAGTGGAAAGGTGATCAATTTGATGATTGCAATCATTCGCAACGAACCGTAGGACGTTGACGAAAAACTCTCTGCCCACGAATGCAAAGATTTAGGGATAAGCTTAAACTGGGTGACAGAACTCAAGCGTGACGCGAACGAGAAGTTTGTTGTAGCGATGCTTTTAGCTACTGAGGGCCCTCGTCCCCTGTAGAAGCTCAGGCTTTTGCTCTGCAGTTTGTCAATCTGAGCTTGTTCAGAGAGGGAGACGTCATGATCATGAGTCGTCACCGGATCACGCGATAGAGTCGTTTGAGTTTGTGCTTTTTGAGTTTGTTGTCGTCATCAGTAGGGACTTGGCTTCGTCGAGGATTGCTCAGGAGGCGAGAGAGTCTCTCAGAATCGCGGTCAACGATGCATTCTCAAAAAAATATGGTCTGCTTTCAACTCCATCCCTTCAATCGTATCATGCACACCTCTTGTCGTAAAACATCGCAGCTCTCCTAAAGATTCCATAAACCTATGGCTCTTGGGCCATGTCGGAAGACTTCTCTCGCTTCTCCCCTCTATCAGGGATCCCTCGACGACTTGCAAAAGCTTATTCGCAACGGGCGTTGTGGCAAATTCTCCCTCCCCAATTACAGAGTCACCCTTGGAATACAATCTGGCTCATGTGTCTGTTTGTTCATTAATCATGACTTGCGTTCGAAGCCTTGTAGAACAGACGAGCCGTCATCGAATAGCCTTTCCATTAGCCCAACTGTCAAGTTTCTCGAGGTTAGGTTTTCTCTGCTTCTTCTGCACACTGTCAGTCAATATGTCTTTGAGGATTAGTTGAGCACGTATTGTCTTGAGATCACAACCCCCGAAGGACCATGGCCGCCTTCTATACAGTTGAGTCAGCCCTTTGCCCGTGTAGTCGGTGGAGGAAGGAGATCCTCATTATTCGACATTACATATCGATGCCTCTCCTTTGCATCATTTTTTAAACTCAAGATATCAGAAGAGATTAGCCAGGTTGAGAAAAATCGACTAATCAATCGATCCCATCCACATCAATCAACTCTAGGCTTCATTTACACACCAACGATTAAGCAAACACTCTGTATGTAATAAGGCGTGATGCACCAAGACATACGATTGGATCGCCCCACTGGGTTCTGACTAGGCTTGGAAATACACGTGTAGTCGGCATATATGCAATCGGTGGCACATACATTAAGAAGAAAATAATTCGTCAGGTGTTGATGGATTCATTGTTAAACTAATGGGTCAAATGCTTCGGAGCAAAAAGGTTGCTCCTGGTGAGGATCGAACTCACGACCTCCGCATTTCTCACATTGATGATGTAATTATAAGAACGGCGCCTTCACCACTTGGCTACAGGGGCTTTCTTAACTTCCGACAAAACTTGGTTTATGTACTCTTGCTCAACCCCCGAAGCTCGGTCCGGCACCACGCGACGGTGCGGCGCAGCAACTGCCCATACATCCACATACACAAAGCACAACCCGCAAAAGCATCCAATGCAACTCCGATTTTCATCACAAAGAGCGCTGTCCTCGAATTCGTCGATATGCTCTGTTCCAACGCGGCGATGTGCACTGTTAGTGCAGTACATTGCTGCAGTGCACCACCTCTATCAGAGACTTTGATTGGGTGATCTGGTCTTTTGGTGGGGTCCGGATGACAGGTTGCTGGTGAGGGGGAGAATAGCGATCGGAGATTGGGAGTCAGATACCTTTATAGTGCCCCTGCAGTCATTCCGCCCTCTTCTCAATGGAATACAAAATCTGTCCACGGCGCCAGGCTCAAATGCTCCAGCAAGTGCAAGACGAGTTGGGCGCGAGACGACCGGCAAAACTCGAAGCGGATGCATGAATTCAGATGGATATTTACTTTGAGCCTCTCCCTTAAAAGCAACTATTTGGCTTTCTTCTGAGAATATGTTCCATTACACATCTGCATTCTGACTGACATACATAGTATAGAAAGGCTCAAACAAGGCGAAAGGCACATATGAGGCACCTTAGCCCTTCAATGCTACCGTGACCGCGAGCGCCGTACCGGCAGGTGGGGCGCCCGGAGTCCGGAGGACGTTGAGCATTACCGAAGGCGAGCGCTCCCGATGACTCTGCCCGGGATATTAGCACGTACCCGATGGAGATTCTTAGGATAGAAAACTCAACCCCGTAATCTTTCTCCCGTCTTCCTAGTTGGATGCATCGTCATATAGCTGTCATCTCAACCTTTTCACGCCTGCGAGCAAATATCCCCGTTCACCTAGTAACTCATCCTCGTAAGCAAGCTTCTTTTATGAGACCCATCCTCTTTCCTATCCTCCGCTCTGCATCATCGTATCCGCCCGGCATAGAGACTTTCGAATAACCTCTTTTATCCCCCAGGCCTGCTTCTAATTAGCAGCGAACTTGATGATCTTGATGATTAGGCCCAAATCATCGCCCCTGGTCGAGACCTGGATCGGACCAAATGAGAGCGACTTCTGAGAGATCTATGCATAGGGCGACAGAGTAGAGACAAAGTGTGGAACGGAATCTTCAATTGCATCAGCAGATAACCAGGGCAGTTGTTGAGTGGCAACAAATCCAGCATTCCATTAAGCCAAACATCGGCCAAACAAAAACAGGAAACATGCGAGCCCAGCAACAGGAATGCTTACATACATCAAGATGTGTGAGTTGAGCCTTTGTATCGTTCAGACACAACACCGTATGTAATTGTGCGACTGACTTCATCAGAGGTCGCCTGTAACTATACCTCAGGTCTTTCTACCTTATCGTACGTGTTGCGAGAGATATCCCACCTCGAATGCAGTCTTCATCCGCTTACTCCGAACCAGACGGAAGTAGACGAGGATATGGTCAATATCCCAAAAATGAACTCTGTGTTTGGACCACAAATTGAAGAGAAAGATTGAAATTTGAACATGTCGTCTCTGGGAATCGCCCACTGGACCTTCCGAACACATCAACCGAAGCTCTTGATATAGGTACACAACGCAATAAAACATGAAGGAAGGGAAAAGGCAAAGGCTAGCAAGATCGAGAGTAAAAAGGGGGCAGGTGGAGATGAAGAAAAGCCAAAGCACCTACTAGAAGCATAAGCCAGTCCAGCAATGTTGCCGATTGCCTTGTTCGAGATTACTTTCACCTTGTCTCCTCCAACGTCACACTCCAGCCTCACACGCTTCGTCCTCACTACCTCATACCTCGTACCCACCTTTTCACGTTTATCAACAGCCTCACTTCATACCTCAACACGTGACTTGGGATCATTAAGCCTAATCGTGTATATTCCGACTCACCTCTTCACAATAGCTGTTGACCATGATTTATTCTTATAGAAATTCAACCTCTGGCTGTGTTCACCAGCCCTAACCTACCCATCGCTCCTTCCTCAGAAGAGATTGACAGACTCACGGCAGGTTCGACCTTTCCCCCCCACTGTCCCCCGAACAACCTCTCTTCTTCCTCTTGACAACTTTCCCCAGAGCGATCGATGATCTTTTCCACACGCTTACCACTCTCTCACCTCGCCATTCATCAGGCAATATCGTCAAAAGAAGCCATTGGCTTCACGTCTTGGCCTCTGAATCAGGTATATATACTCACTCATGCAAGTCAGTGAAGAGCCGTACATCTAATTCAGCACCAGGCTTACAATAGAGTCTCATTGTTCATGACCTAGCTTCAGCAATCTTCTTTGACAGTCTTTGCTCATTATCACTGAGCAGACTCGCCTACCCTTCGCAAGCACAATACCAGCAGCAGACAAAGCAGTCACAATGGATCACTTCGCCGAAGAGGAGAAGTTTGTTGATATCATCGACTACAAGAAGATGATAGTCAATCGCATCCCCGCGACCGTCTCGGACACTTACCGCAGCACACTCATCAAGACTATCGATTATTTCATCGACACTCCCGACCCTTCCAACTGCACTCTCTTTTGGAAGGTCAATGCGGAATATGTCTCCAATGTTGAGCCTCCCTCGCACTTCGTCATTGCACTCTGTCTCGCTTCGCCCTCGCTTGCTCTCGAGGGTCAAGCTCTTGAGTTCCAGAAGGACTTCTACGCCAAAAACCTCGATGTGGCTCACCACTTGAATGATTGGACCGTCCAAGGCCTCATCAATCACCACAACAAGAAGATCCTCTCTGGAGACATCACTGGCGATTATGTCCACAACATTGACGGCACCCCTTGGAACCCCGAGGCTATTGTCGTCAGCCACCCTAACCACAAGCGCCCAGCCTCTGCCGTCGAGGACATGGTGCCTGGTTCATCGTCCAAGAGAAGACACTTGGCTCAGGAGGCGACCACGTCGCTCCCCTTCTTTGAGAACAAGGACACTCCCCGTCTCAACTTCCTTGCCCAGGCACAAGAGGTCCCCAAGGACTTGCGTCCCATCCTCCCTCCCATGCCCGAAGCCCCCAGAAGCCCGTCCATCGGTGATCTTTTGGAACTCCCCCTTCCGGATCGCCCTATCTCGCCCAATATCTTCCTCAACCCTATCCCGGGTATGAAGGGGGATGAGGAGCGCCTCGACAACGGCTCTCTCTTCAATAATCCTGCCAGAGTCACTGATATGCCCATGCCAGGCATGAGTGAGGACAACGAGCACCTTGGCAACATCTCTCTCTATGGCAACCCAGCCAACTTCCCTATTGTGAACTATCGCAACCCGTTCAGTCCTACTCGCGAGCCTTCCACCTTCCTCGCCAACGACAACTATGGCTACGGAGACTATGGCATGGCCTCAGCTGGCTACAACCCCGGCGGCCCTGCTGGCTTCTGCAACGACCAGGAGGCTTCCTTGCCTGTCGGCTTATCTGATGGCCCCTCCGGCAACGACAACAATCCTGTCGCCTATGGCGCTCCTGAGGCTCCCATGACCATCTACAGTACTCCCTCCGCCGCCAACCTGCCGACCGATGCGCCCATCCCCGCGCCCCTGGCTGACATTCAGGAATCCACTGTTCATGAGAACGGTGATCAGGCCTCTGCTGTTCAGGATTCCGCCGCTCAAGCTTCCACAGCTCAAGCCCCTCCCATCAACCCCTGGATCGCAGCCGAGCAAGCCTCCGCCTCGCGCATCGCCCGCCTCACCACCCTCATCGCCCAGAAGCAAGCCGAGGCCCAGGACAAGATGAAGCACGCCGACGCCCTCCGAACCGAGCACGCCGGCCTGGTCAGTCCCTTGCCCCTCATCACCGACGCGCCCCGCGGCGCCTACGTCACCTCCGCCGAAGGCGACGCCCTCCGCAAGTTCGTCATGGAGGCCCACGACTTTGAGGCCTGCGCCCAAAAGTTCTATAGCGAGGCCATTTCGGCCATGTTTGAGGCTTCCCGTCTCGAGAAGGAGCGCTACGAGGAGAGCGTCAACGCCGGCAACAAGCGTGTTGAGCGCATGCAGACGCTTGTCTACAAGATGGCTGGCTTCGCTAGAGATGCGCAGGGCCTGGCGCTTGGTGCCCGTCCCGGCGAGACACCTCAACTTCCGGGTGGAGTCAAGGGCGTTGGCGATATCGTCAGTCGGATGGCGCAGCTGAAGCAGGCCTCGGAGTATCTCGTTCAGCAGATTCATCTCGTCGAGAAGGATTTCCGGCAGTACCAGGAGTACCGCCAGTTCATGCGACAGATGCAGTAATCGTACATGCTTCCAGGGTATCGGGTTCTGGGGGTTTGTTATATCCGTTGAACCGGGACATATTGGTGGCTACTTCTTTCTTCTTTGCTGACCGACCGCATTTCTCATACTAATTGCATCCACGAGGAACGACAATGAGAGACGGAGAAGGTTTTGGCTTTCAGGAGTTAACGAGGGTTTTGGGTGATGGAACCCTTGAAATACCCCCTATGCTTTGGCTTCTTTGCTTTGGCTTGCTTGTGACCTAGATACCCATCGGGAAATGCCCAAGGATCTCGGAGGAAAGAGCGAGGATGCAAACCCATGGGAACAATGGCTCTGAGTTTGAGCTCACGAGAACAAGGACATCGAGATACACATTGAGAACAATAAAACCATGAACCAAACTGAAGAACCCCCAAAGTGAATGAAGGTGGCCACCCAGAACAATCAGGATCACTAATTAAGATGAAATGACTCTCTAAGTGACGGTAGAAGTCATAATAACAAGAGTTGGTCAAAGCAATGGGAGACTTCAGGTGATGGTCAATTGCCATTCTGTATTATGGTATAATCAATGATGGTAGGTAGTAAGTACCTCAGGGTGAGTAGTATCGATCGCTCTATCAATGTCGATGGTGTAAGCTCCCAGTAATCCTCAACGCCTCCTTGGTGAAAAAATCCAAATAAATGAGAGACCATGTTTAAAAAACAAAAGTCAAACCAGAAACGAGTAATTCCAACTTTTAAATCTCCCCCCTCCTCTCAGTAAACGCTTCGCTCCGCATTGTATTATGCATTACACACGTTGTTTAAGCACAACTGCTACTCCAACTCGTCTGGCAACCCACAGCGGCATAACAAGCCGGGTTCGTGACAAGCAGGAGCTTACTGCTAGCGCAGACATTGAGCACCGTACAGCAGAAGCCGTCACCACATTTGGCATTGGCAGACGAACCACAGGCCGCGCCGATGGTGCTGACCGTCTTGACGGTGGATGCTGCCGCGGATGTGGCTGCTGGTGTTGCGGCGGTAGTACCGGACCCGGAAGAAGTATCTGTTAAAATTTAACCTAATTAGCCAAAAACAAGATCCGTATTAGCAAGGCCATATAAGCCAAAGTTGTAATTTACTCACCACAGGTACCGTATCCAGACTGGCATCCCGTGCCGCAGAAAGCAGACGTGCTACCACAGTATCCGTACGCCGAGCAGCAGTTGCCAAACGTCGAGCCCGCGCATGTCGACCCGCCGTTCGTGGAGCCGCAGTTGCCGTTGAGCGAGACGGCGACGTTGACGCCCGTGCCGGAGCACTTGCCGAAGCCGGACTGGCAGCCCGTGTCGCAGTGAGCGGTGGTGTTACCGCAGTAGTTGTAGGGGGAGCAGCAGTCGCCAAAGCTGGAGCCGAGGCAGTTGTAGCCGTTTGTGCCGGCACACTCGCCGTTCTTGGAGATGTTTGTGTTTGTCGCGGCGGCGGCGTTGGCGGTCGTGCTGCCGCCTGCGACACCGGAGGAGGCCGGGGTCGCTGCGGAGGAGGAGCCTGCGGCGGCGCCTGAGCTCGAAGCGGCGGTCGTGCCGTTGCAGGAGCCGTAGCCTGGTTGGCAGCCTGTGCCGCAGTGGGCATCGGTGGTACCGCAGTAATTGTAGACGGAGCAGCATGTGCCGAAGGTGCTTCCCGTGCAGGACTTGCCGGCCGCGGCACCGCATGAGCCGTCGGTGGAGACAAGTGAGGTGCTGGGGAGGACAGCGGAAGCGGAGGACGTGCCGCTGGCGGAGGCCGAGCCGGAGCTGCTGGCCGCACCGGAAGAGCTGGCGCCGCTCGAAGAGGAGCTGCCGGAAGCGGATGATGTGCTGTTGCAGGTGCCGAAGGCGGACTGGCAGCCTGTTCCGCAGTGTGCGGCGGTGCTACCGCAGTAGTTGTAGACGGAGCAGCAGTTACCGAAGGTCGAGCCGAAGCACTGCTTTCCGCTGGCGGCACCGCAGTCGCCGCCGGTGGAAACGGGAAGTGTCGAGGTGGATGAAGCGGCGGAGCTGGAGGCGGACGCTGTGCCGGTGCCTGATGAGGAACCTGACGACGAGCGAGTGTTAGAAGAAGACGACGACGATGATCCGCTGCGAGTGGACGAGCTGGAGGTGCCGGTACGAGATGAACTGCTGCTAGTACCCGTGCGAGACGAGCTGCTGCTGGTACCAGTGCGTGAGCTGGAGCTCGACGTGCCGGTGCGAGAAGAGCTGCCGCTGCTGCTGGTGCCGCTGCGGGTGGACGAGGAAGAAGAGGTCCTACCTGATGAGGTGCCACTGCTCGAAGAAGAAGTAGTGTTTGATGCTGAGCTTCCGCAGGTGCCGTACTTGGACTGACAGCTCGTGCCGCAGTAGACGGAGCTGGAACCGCACCATCCGGCGCCGGAGCAGCAGTTACCGTAGGCGGAGCCCTGGCAGGTGAAGCCGACGGTGGAACCGCACTGGCCGTTGGTGGAGACGGCGGTCGAGGTGGAGGTCGCGGACGAGGTGCGGGAGGACGATGAAGACGTCTTGGTCGAGCTGGATGAGCTGGAGGTGCTGGAGCAGACCTTTGAGCTGACGGGGGTGATCTTGAAGTTGTAGGCCGGGACGGCACCGCGGTACCAGTTCTCTGGGGGGTCGCCGAGGCAGGTGCCGACGGTGACGGCGTTCCAGCCATTGGCGACGACAGAGTCGAGAATGTGGTTTGTCAGGGTCGTGGCAATGTACTGGTGGATGTCGTGCTCGATGTGCAGGTAGCTGCCGTTGCAGGGCGTGCGAGCCTGCATGGCTTGATCCCACAGGTTCACGCTGAACTGGATCTGGTCGGCCGGGGTGTGGAGGTAGCCCTGGGTGTCGAGATCGAAGTAGGTGATGTGGTAGCCCAAGTCGGCCATCTGTCCCTGGCACTCGGCTCCGCAGATGGAATAAGGCGGACGCATGTAGGTAGGGAAGAAACCGAGGATATCCATAAAGGCGATCTCGTTGTAAACCATCTGGTTCTTGCGCTGGGCCAGCGTCATCTGATCCAAGTTCTCGTGGGACCACGTGTGGCTGGCAACCTGGTGACCATCTGCAATCATTCGCTGGAAGGAGGTCAGAATAGATAAATCACAAGTGTGGCTAAGAAGCTTACTGTAATGACATCGCGGTAGTTGACATTGATCATGCCCTTGCCGATATTGTTGCCCGTGATGAACCAAGTAGCGACAGCACCGTGAGCCTTGAAGGCGTCCAACATGGCAGCGGTGTAGATGTAAGGTCCGTCGTCGTATGTGATGGCAACGTCGCCCTGGTTGACGCAGGCGTAGATGCCAACGCCGCCATAGGGAATGTCACCGTTCTTTGGCCTTGCATAGTCTGAGGTATCCGGACCATTGGGCTTCTCGTTGCCATCACATGCAGGACCGTAGTTGATTTGGCAATCGGGGGACGCGCAGTAATCCTCAGACTGACCGCACCATCTAATCGTACTGTTAATCAAGAACCGTTGACAGGCGATGTAGCTGCAACATACCCAGAGGCTGAACAGCAGTATCCATCCGCACACCTGCCATATGTTCCTCCACACTGCGAGTTGTCTCCCAACGGAATCGCTGACGTCTGGCGAGGGCTGAGTTTAACGCGGTCCGCGCGTGGCTTGTTGGCTACCGTCGGCGGGTTCCAGGGCTCAAAAGCATTCCGTCTCTGTCTCAACTCATCTACATCGCGAAGACGAGGCAATACCATGTTGGGATGAGGAACTTCATCCTCATCGTGAGCATGAGCTGCTTGTAGCCCTGCAAGGGTAGCTAGTACAACAGGAGTCCAACGCATGATGACTCAAGTTGTTACTGGAAAAATGGAAAAGAAAGATATTACTAAGAGACCCGGTGATTAGGTTGATGTAAGTCGTAAGAGTCGACTGCTCTTCAAAAGATTGTCTTCAAGGAAAACAAACAAACTCGAAGAAAACAACCTAAGAGATAAATGAGTGCTCTTAGGCTTTCTTTATTAGGATACTGAAGCACCTTGATAGAGGGATACCGAGAAAGAATAAGCATCATGAGGAACCCGTGCGGTACCCAGTGTTATATACAGGGGAGACGAAAGACCGGGGGGAGGCGTTCATGTTCGATGTCGCAGTAGAAAACGGCAGCAGTGACATTCTCCATGAGAGACTTCTCGCATAGCCCAGATTTGGCGATGACCGCAAAAAGACACACACCAACACCACTTACACGCCCGCGCCCCACACCCCTCCCACCCCATCCCCATCCGACTGGGAGGACCGAGCAATACCACAATGGAAATTGGAGGATCGCGAGGGCTAGCTTGGGAGCAGGTCTACCGGGTACGGGAAAGTTAGCGTGGCGTCGAAAGGGACCCTCCCCTTCAAGCTCGCGCCGTCCGGGACGGGTAGCAAAGAGAACCACATCATGGATTCGATGGAATCGGTAAGAATGGGCAAAGAAAGAGAGAGAGAGAGAGAGAGAGAGAGAGAGCGACAATGACGCGCGCTTGTTCCTCGATTCACTCCGCACATCGTCCCCCACATTTTTTCCTTGCCTAGCTATACAGAAAAGTCCATCTGGCGCCAAGATGGCACCAGTTCGGGGCCGATAAAACAGATTTGATGGGCAAGATTGTTAGGGTGAGACCATGCCGAAGACAGCGAAGAAAACCGACAAGAAGGACAAACGGATAGAGGTCATGATCGAACCGACGTAAAGGTACGGATAAACGAGAGAGAGAGGCGAGATGGGCGGAAAGGTCGAAGGCGAGACCACAAGTCACAGTCAGCACACTCCACGAGAGCAACGCGGTCATGGCGGGGCTAGCAGACGGAACAAGCCACCGGTTGCGACTTTGACGGACCGTCGAGCAGATGTGGGACGCCGTAGCAACGCCAAGTGGCTTGACGGAGACGCACCGACGGGAATACCTATACCTCACTCTCTCGCTCCATCACCCATGGGCTTCTACCTCGAGTTGTGCGATGGTCCGATGGATCATGGGAAAGAATGCCACGCTGCGGGCAAA